TCTTGATGCATTTAGCAATTAAGCGAAGCCCCTGGGGCTAGAGGTCTCCTTGACCAAGACCAAGATCCAGGATTTTGGAGGCCTACTAAGAGACCCTGTGCAGTCGGTATGTGCTTGCAGTGAAAACATCGAAGTTACCAAGAGCTTTATATACCTCGGTATGCAGTCACGACTCTTGGCTGTCAGACCAGGAAGTCAGTAGACGGATTGGACTGGCAGCAGGGGTCATGAAATCTCCCGACAAGAGCATTTGGAGATGCCAGTATCTGTGCAGAAGGACCAAGTTACATGTTTTCAAGGCCCTGATACTGCCAGTTTTACTATATGGTAGTGAAACCTGGACGCTATCTTGTGCCTTGGAATCTCGTCTTGATGCCTTTTGTAACAAATCCTGCGCCGGATCATGGGGTACAGTTGGCAGAACCATGTGTCCAACCAACGGTTACACCGTGAGACCGGCACAGGACCTGTTACTTGCACAATCTGTGATCGCCAACTCAGGCTATACGGCCACTTGGCTCGACTCCTGCAGGGACAACCCCGGGTGAAGGAGGCCTGTGGGACGACCAAGAAGGTCGAGGCTTGGGCAGATCGAGCAAACCTGTCGTGAGGAACTAGAGATGGGCCTGGCCCCTGCCTGGCGGCTCGCCATGAGAGACCCTCGCAGGTGGAAGCGAAGGGTGGATGCGGCTATATATATATAAATGTATACATATATATTTATATATATATTCATGTGTGTGTGTATATATATATATATATATATATAATGTACTGAACATCTCCCCCATATCTATGTGTATATATATATATAATGTACTGAACATCTCCCCCATATCTATGTGTGTGTATATATGTATATATATGTGTATATATATGTGTGTTTATATATGTGTGTATATATATATACACATATATATATACGCCCCGTGTTACCGTGTGCCTCTCCTAACTAACCTTCACTTCGCTGTTCACTTCCTCAGCTACATCCCATATTTATGACAAAATCAACAGCAGTAAATCTCGTGTAGCAACAGGTCAGCTTTTCATGGCAATATTAAATTTCTTATAGATTTCATTGTTACAAATTGTTAATATAGATTTACTAATACTTTCTTTGTAAAATATTTTCGCCTCCACTGATAAACAAGACTATAGGTATGTGAAACTACCGTATAAAATTACTAACACTTTCCTTTGTAAGGTATTCTGGAATCAATACACTGCTTCTATTGTTAAAAAAGACAATGTATATGTGAAACTACCTTATTTGCGTAGTTTAAGCTTTGAAAGTATTAAATAACTAAAATCAATGTTAAAGATAATTACCAACAAATTAGATTTACTTTTTGTTATCACCAGCACTTTCTAATTCTGACAAGTATTTAAACATAGTCCACCTATCCAATGGAACAACTAACTGGTTTCCCATCAAGAGAAGTGTCCGGCAAGGTTGTGTGATGTCAAATGACCTCTTCACTTTATACTCTAAAGTTATCATGCAGGATATTAAAGAATCGTTATCAATGGTTACAAGATCAACAATCATCGTTATGTTGATAAGGAAGCCATTGAACACCTTTACCTCCATACCAACAGCAAGAAAATAAAACGCATGGTAATTTCGGAGTCAGATATCCCACCAACTTGGTCATTGAAAGAAGATGTAGAAATCTAGCAGGACTCCTGCTTCAATTATTTAGGAGCTTTTGTCACCTCAGATGCTGGTTGCAAGAAGGAAACCAGATGCAGAATCGGACTAGCAAAAGATGCATTCTGCAAACTCCGGAACATCCTAACAGACCATCATCATCATTATAATGGGGCATATGCATGGCTGCTCTTTGCAGCGCCTAACCTTTGCCTCCATCTCCTGAGGTCCTCTGAGCAAGCCTCAATGCAGCATTCCTTCCCCCTCCCAGTACATCTTGGCAGATCTGATCGACTTGCTTCAGCCATGAGTTCCATGGCCTTCGCCTTGGTCTTCTCCATCCTGGGTCAACCCTCTCGGAGATGACCCTATGAGCCAGATCTTCCTCAGGGAAACGAGCTACATGCCCATAGAGCTGAAATTGGTGCTCTCGTATCAGACTCGTAATTGGTCTTGAATCAGTCTCATGGAGTATCCTCTGATTGGACACATGGTCCCTCCAGGTATACCCCATGATGCTGCGAAGACACTTCTTAAGGAGTTAAGATGGGCCTTCAGAGCACTGTTCAGTATCCAGGTCTCACACCCATAGAGTAAGACCAGGATCACCAGTGCACTGAAGAGCCTGATCTTAGTTCTCCTAGTCAAATACCGACAGCGCCAAATACTCTTATTGAGTGAGTCCATAACGCCGTAAGCCAGTCCGAGTTGTCGAGTGACTTCCCGGTTGGAACCTCCGTCACTCTGCACTACACTACCAAGATAAGTGAAGCTATCCAAGACCTCAATGTTCTCGCCACATGCATACACAGACTGAATATCGACATCCAATAAGTCCCCAAATTCCTG